ATGAAAGCATTAGGTTACCTTGTCCCTTGTCTTATCAACAAGAGGGTTTGTGACTCCTTGAACTAGTGCAAGGTGTGGAAGTTGATCGCACTTGTCCTTGCCAAAATGATATAAGTGAAGTATGTTGGCGGAGTCACCCTCAAGAACTCTCTAGTTCTTCTTCTTTGGGATCCACATCATCTTGATGGGAATCCTTGGGGTTGTAGTGGAACTTGATGAGGTAGAACTTGATGTAGTCTTGGGAACCTACTTGACCAAGGCCTTGGGAGATTCTTCAAATGCATCAATATCCTCCTGAAGCTTGTCCTTGCCTTTTTGCTTGTGGTCTTGTGGTGGAATATCATCTTGAGCTTGTGTCCCTTGGAAAGAAGTAGGATCATACTTCTCTTGTTGAGGAACAAACTTTGTCTTGGGGTATTGATCTTCTTCCCACTCAACTCCATTGGCATTGAACTTTCGTTCAAAACCAACACCTTGATTCTTCCGGTGCCTTCCTTGCTTGCGTACAATTTCCTCAAATTGCTTACTTTCGGCAAGGCTCTTGTAGACACCTTTCTCTATAATTCCCTTCAATAAGCTATTTTCTTGCTCAAGTGTAACTTGGCTAAGAGAATCATTAGTGGAATCAAGAGAACTACTAGGGGTAACAACATTGGGTTTAGCATGATTATTGTTACTACTAGAAGAAGAGTCTTTCTTACTCTTGTTGCTACATTTTACTTGAGGCATGTAAGTATATAAGAGTAAACACTTGGCAATGTAAGAAGAACTTTTCTTGCGAAGATCATCATTGATTGCTTTTAAAAACTCATGCTCTTGCTCAAGGTTGAGCTTTTCAAAATGTAACTTCTCATGAGTCTTTAAAAGTTCTCGATGATCTTCCAAGGTAGTTTCATGAGCTAACTTAAGAGTGTTCAGTTCTTTAGTTAGACGCTCAATCTTCTCCTTATCATTGTCATTCATTTTATCTTGATTAGCATGATAATTGACGTTTCATCATAGTATTCATCACTAGAGTTGTCAACAACTAAATCATCATCACCTAACAAGTCATCTTCATCACTATTGAAATCAACATACTCGGGGTGTGATACCTTTGGGCCTTTAGCCATGAAGCATCTTCCAATTCCTTCATTTGGTGAGTCAAATATGTCGTAGGAGTTGGCTGACACAAGTGCTAGACCGGCAACACCTTCATCTTGAGTATATTCGGAGTCGGAGTGATAACTTCTTTCGGAGTGATGGTCGGAGTCAGAGCCGGATACCCATTCACCAACATGAGCTTGATGTCTTCGCTTTGTGTAGCTCTTGGATCATTTATCCTTCCTTTCTGAATCCTTGCTTCTCCGGGAGGTTCTTCGTTCATAACGATCATCTCTACTCCTTCTCTCTCTAGTGGTGATTCTTCTCTTCTACTTCTTCTTTTAGGTGAATCTTCTCTCCTTTTGTAAGGAGTCGTACACTCATTGGAGTAGTGTCCAGGTCTTCCACAATTGTAGCAATTACGTTCATGACTCGAAGATCTTTTGCCATTGTAGGACCTTGACTTGGAACTTCTTTCCTTACTTCTACTCTTGTAGAACTTGTTGAAGTTTTTCACCATTAGGCTCAATTCCTCATTGAAGGTTTGTTTCTCACTTGATGATGTAGGAGCATCACATGAGGCTTTGTAAGCACCACTTGACTTGTTGTGAAGCTCTTCCTTATCCTTGAGTGACATCTCATGAGCAACAATTCTTCCAATGACTTCCGTTTGAAATCTTTGTAGTTGGGCATCATTTGGATCAATGTGCACACGGTATCATATTTTCCATCCAAGGCTCTTAGGATCTTCTTGATGATGAATTTATCGGTCATCTCTTCATAGGCGGCAATCTCATTTGTGATGAGAGCAAGCCTAGAGTACATTTCAGCGACACCTTCACCATCCTTCATTTTGAACTTGTCAAGTTGACTTTGAAGCACATCCAATGTGGATTCCTTGACGGAGTCGGTACCTTCGTGCATATCAATCAAAGTATCCCAAATTTTCTTTGCATTCTCAAGGCGGCTGATTTTGTTGAATTCTTCGGGGCACAATCCGTTGAAGAGGATATCACAAGCTTGAGCGTTGTATTACAGCATCTTCAACTCTTCCGCGGTAGCTTCACAGTTCGGTTCTCTCCCATCAAAGAATTCACCTTGCAAGCCAATACACACAATAACCCAAACGGCGGGGTTATGTCCAAGAATATGCATTTTCATCTTATGCTTCCAACTAGCAAAATTAGTACCATCAAAGTAAGGACCTCTACGGTGGTAGTTTCCCTTGCTAGACGCCATACTCTCCTAGGTTGTGAAACCAAGGCTATGGTCACCAAAAGCTATGGAAATCAAGGCAAATAGAGGCCAAATCTCTGATACCAATTGTAGGATGGAAAGTATGTCTAGAGGGGGTGATTAGACTACTTGACCAAATAAAAACTTAACCTTTTCCCAATTTTAGTTCTTGGCAGATTTTAGCAAATTAGCATAAGTCAAGCAATCAAGAAATGGTTCAAGAAAGTATGCAAAGAGTATATGAGCAGCGGAAAGTAAAGCATGCAACTTGCAAGAAAGTAAAGGGATGGGATTGGAGTATGCAAACGCAATTGGAGACACAGATGTTTTTGGCGTGGTTCTGATAGGTGGTGCTATCGTACATCCACCTTGATGGAGACTTCAACCCACGAAGGGTAACGGTTGCGCGAGTCCACGAAGGGCTCCACCCACGAAGGGTCCACGAAGAAGCAACCTTGTCTATCCCACCATGGCCATCGCTCACGAAGGACTTGCCTCACTAGGGTAGATCTTCACGAAGTAGGCGATCTTCTTGCCTTGCAAACTCCTGGGTTCAACTCCACAATTTTGTAGGAGGCTCCCAAGTGACACCTAACCAATCTAGGAGACACCACTCTCCAAAAGGTAATAGATGGTGTGTTGATGATGAACTCATTGCTCTTTTGCTTCAAATGATAGTCTCCCCAACACTCAACTCTCTCTCATAGGATTGGGTTTGGTGGAAAGATGATTTGAGTGGAAAGCAACTTGGGGAAGGCTAGAGATCAAGATTCATATGGTTGGATTGGAATATCTTGGCCTCAACAAATGAGTAGGTGGTTCTCTCTCAGAAAATGAATGTTGGAAGTGTAGGCACGTTATGATGACTTTCCTCACGAATGAGGAGTGGCTGGAGGGGTATATATAGCCTCCACACAAAATCTAACTGTTACGTCAGCAGTGCCCCCCCCCCCAAGAATTCTTATGAATCTAATCAAACTCATGTTTTCAGACAAGGCTTTAGCTACAGAAAAATTGGTACAGAAGTTAAGCAAGAAAAGTCTGGGAAACTGAACACTCAAAGGTCTATCTCCTAACCAAACATCAGTCCAAAGTAAAGTCATCTCCCCATTTCCCACTAATTTCCTACTAGATTGCAAAAAATAGGTTTAACCTTCATTAATCCTTCCCAGAAGTGAGATTTACTTTTTTTTCTTGCAATCCCTTGGAGTACATTTCTCTAAACATTTCTTTCTAACTATACTAACGCAGCGCTCATGACAGCCTTAAAAAAATATGGCTTCTCCCGCATCAAGGACGCACATGCGTGCATCGACCATAGAAGTCGTGGCATCCGAAGCCTCCCTAGCCTGCGAGGTCACTTCCAAATGGAGGAAGAGCCCGTAGTTTAAATTCTAGCAAAGAATCGAGCTTAAACGATTGTTTAAATCCTAATTGCATTTCAAGTTGAAATTCCTTGCTGAAATTCATGTTGAAATTTAGTAGAAATTTTTATCATTGAGATGGAGAAGGAAGAGGTCTTGTAGCCAATGACAAACGGATTTCATGGGGAAATAAAAATAAAAGGCTACGCTTAGTAACTATTCTATATTTTTGGATCGCCTCGGCGACGTTTACAATACTTTAAAGCACGTTTCATACATGTTAAGGAGACTATTAATATAACGACCTTGGTAGAATTAATCTTAGACAGATGCAAGTTGCTCGGGTCTCTCCCTCCCTGCGATAATGATATGACATTACGGCGACCGGTGCTTGGGATTACCTCCGTAAGTCAGGCAAATTCACATCGTTTCTCTGACCTTGTAGATCCCTCTGGCTGCTTTCTTTGAATCTCCATGTCTTGCTACAAAAGAGCCATCCCTATCAAGGCTTAATTTGACAATAGGGCCGCCCCGTGATGCATGCAACCCGTCGGGTTAATTATCAACGAGGGCGCCCCGTGATGCACGACGTACCTATGACGGCGGTGCCCCGGCACCGGTGGTCGGCAAGCACAGTCGTATCTCAGAACTGATCAAGCCAACCAATCTTCGGAAGGAAAAACACTGCAGATAGATAATTATGAAGTCAGAAAAGAAGGAACAGCACCGACGAGAAACCGCGAAAGAAAGAGATCACAGACAGGTCAGGGTGCCGGTGCAGTCGATCGCAGCCGTCCACCGGGGGATCAATCGTCCCACGCGTCCGTGCTGGCCGCGGGCCCCGGCGGCGCCACGAGGGACACGTTCCCGAGCAGCGCAGCGCAGCGCAGCATAGGCAGGCAGCAGATCCCACGTCCGCGCCATGATTGGGAACACCGATGAGCCGACCCCGGATAAAGCCGCGATCGAGTGCATCGGAAGGGAAGGTATCCAATCTCTCATGGTTTTTTTTTTCTGAAATAATATAGGGAAACGGCGGGGCAGCCAATGGGCGCAGCTCTGGATCTCGCCATCGTCTCTAGCGTCTCTTTCTTTTATACCACCACCTGACTTGTCCCGCCTTCTTCTCCCTCCCTCCCTCCTCTTTCTCCACAGGCTTCCGTACGCCCTGCGCCTTCTGGTTGCGGGTCTCCTACTCTTCCATCTCCGCCAGCCTTTGCCACCAGAGAAGCAAAAGCCGGGGAGGAGGCTGCCCTGCCCTTGATCACCATAGCAGCAGAGTAGGCGATTCTTGGAGGTGAAGGGGCGCCGACTCGAATCAGGTAATCTGCAGCTCCATCTCCATCTCGGGCGGCACATGTTGAGCTGCTCGTTAATTTGCATTCCCTTCCTTCTCGTTTCCCGTCCAAACTTGCCGTTACTTAGGAGTTAGGACATGGGTGGTAGATAATGATGGAGCGAGCATGTTCATGCCCGGACCATGCTCATTGATTCTCGGAAGAGCAGTATGCTATGTCGATGTTTTCTTCTTCGAGGTATATGCTGCTAGTCTTTTGAATTAGCCAGGGCGATGGGTGTGGCCACAAGTGTTGTACGTACATCCACTAAGAACTGCTAGTACTGCTTAATTTCTCCCAACAACAGAACTAACGGCAAACAAACACAAGGCCAAGCTCGATCCCGACGTGGCAGCCACACCCCTTCATGGCCTTGGCGTGACGTCAAATTGTGATAGGAAAGCATACGGAGCACAAAATCCGAACATCTCAGATATCTCAGATATCACGGTATAGAACTCTTAGATCGTAAGTGTTAGACCATGTAGTACTCGTTCTGCTGCTGGCTCTACTACACATTGCAATTTACCGTAGTGCCCTTTTTGTAGCATTCTGTTGGCCTGCTCATTTGATTGAGCCTTGTCATAACATGTACTGTACCGAGCAATGGATTAGCTGAGTTCGTAGAAGTATTAAAAAAAGATAGTAGGATGTGATTACTCCTAACTCTCTTTCGAGCGACTATTCTTGTCCTCTTGTCCACATGTGGGAAGGATAAAGATGAAGATGAACGAAACAGTCCGCTGATTGATCGATCCGGAAAGGTAACCAGAGGATCGAGTTAACAATGATGAGATGAGCCGTGAGTGGGCGGCAAAGCTGGCCGCGACATGTGGACTCGAACCCTATTCTTCTTTTCTGGGCGTTGGAAAGAAAGATCTCGAACCCGATTCGTCCCGTTGAAGCGGGAATCCACTGCCTTTACACGTGTAGTAGTTGGTGTGTATGGCTGCGAATTTGACCTTGTTTTTAGGACTCCTTAATTTAATTGAGATCGACAGGCGTGCAGCAGTGTGCAACAATGTGGAACTCTATCTCTTTCGTGCTAACACGGGGCGTCGAAAATGGCTTTCGCCCCTTTTGCTAGGGGATGGTGAGATGGACTCGTACGTGCGTGACGTTCTCGTAGTAGGGAACAGTGATCTTAACCCATGTCGCCATAACTATACCCCTTCTCCTCTCCTCGACTTGATTTCGGTTTGGCGCGAAACCAGAGTACCAGACCCATACAAGAGACAGACAGCCGGCGTCTTTATCTGAATGAACAGTGTACCCCTCTCTCGCCTGCACCGGATATCACCGGCAAGCTAGGCGGGCCCACCAGCGCCCGTTGTTTTCTTCCCTAGCCTAGCCTAGCCAGCCACAGCTTCACATATTTTCTCTTCTTTTCCGTTTAGTTCCTGGCACAGAGCACCTGATAATTCGGTGGGAGCGGCCGGGGTACGAGTAGGTCGGGAGAAATCATGTGGCGCACGCACGTGAACGGCTCCCCCGCCCTTTTCGTCGGGTCGCCGCGACAGCAGCAGCCTCGCTCGCTGGCCGGCCAAATTTCCGTAGCCCGGCGTGCGCAGCCCTTGTCCGCTGTCTCACGTCGCTGCGCTGGCTCTCGCTGGTTCGCCAGCACGATGGTCCTTCCGTTTCCTGCTCCATCAGTTTCGGAAATTTTCCTATCCTTCTCGCAAACAAAAAAACCAAATAAATTCCACCAGAAAAAATCGAAGGCGAATTCGCTGTAGTAGTCAGCCCCAACAAAAAAGAGAGAGAGAGAAAAATCGCCTGTCAAAGTCACGTGGAACACGTGTGTTTCAGACGGAGGTAAGATTTTCCTTTTCCAGATTATATTTCGCGTAGAAAGAAGCGCCGCTGGTACGATTTGGGCCTGGTTTAATCTCCAGTACCCTTCCTTTTTATTTACTGTCTCGCGCTTTCACTCGCTACCATTTCTTTAGCTCACGCGCCTCCCATAAAGCGCAGGGACCCCAGGAGAGGAGGCAAGCGTCAGCAAGCAGCAACAGCGCGGACGGCCGAGAAGCAAGAATGGACGGCGACCAGGCGCCGCATTCCAACTCCAACCAGCACCCGCCCCCGCCGCCGTCGCCGTCGCCGCTGCCGGAGCGGGAGGCCAGCTTCAACTACGACATAGAGAGCATGGACGGCGGCGGGTGGCGCGGCGCGGGGAGGTACGCCTCGTCCGACGCGCTGCTGCGGTACGACGACGACGGCCCGCGGGAGCCGCTGCTGCGGAAGCGCACCATGAACACCACCTCCCAGATCGCCATCGTCGGCGCCAACGTCTTCGCCATCGAGAGCCTCGACTACGAGTAAGCGCCCCCCTCAGCTCTCCCCCCTCCCCGTCTCAACTAATTTTAATTTAATGTTTGACTTGGACACGAGAAAGTTCGTCGGCATCTTCTGCTGAATTCCCAAGGGGAATACGTTATCCTCTAGAAAGCGTGATCCTTTTTGTCTTGTACAGCACTGTACTTTTTAAAGAACGCGGATACTGTCATCTAGGAGTAGGATTATTTATAAGGTTCTTTACCTGCCCAGCGCCAGGATTTTTCTTTGAAAAGCAATCCTAGGAATGTACTTCGAGTAACACTCATTACGTGTCGAGCCGATTGCACAAAGCTATCATTGAAGAAAAGGGGGTGAAATGGGGAGATGTAATCCCTTTACACAAACGAGCAGTAATGTGTTTATATATATCAAAGTTTTGGTGAATTTAGATGTTTATTCACTGACTGCAGTGTGCAAAACTATATAAGATAACAAGAATGTAAAAAAAGGGCTGTTGCATAAGTTCGATGGTTGAATTCTGAAGGGAAAAGAAATAACGTGGTTTCAGAATTGAACTAATACCGTATACTTCAGTAGGCGTGTTTCATTACTTGCGCTCTGAAAACTCTGCTGCGTGTTCCAGAATTGTGGAGAATGATCTTTTCAAGCAAGACTGGCGATCGAGAAAGAAGAATCAGATATTTCAGTATGTTGTCCTGAAATGGGCATTAGTTCTTCTTATTGGCTTGTTGACTGGGCTTGTTGGCTTCTTCAACAACCTTGCAGTCGAGAATATTGCTGGATTCAAATTGGTGCTCACAGGTGATCTTATGCTCCAGAAGAGGTAAAGCTTCACTCCGGTGCTTTTGCTGTTTTACCATAAGGTGTAGCTTAAATACATTAGTATGTTGTTTCCAAATACTGTTTGGTTTGCAGCAATGGAGTAATGTGAAGTTGTCGATTGCGTGCTGCTTCCAGTGCAGGTACTTCACAGCATTTTTGGCATATGGAGGCTGCAATCTAGTCTTAGGAGCCACTGCTGCAGCACTATGCGCTTACATAGCACCAGCTGCTGCTGGGTCTGGCATCCCTGAAGTTAAAGCATATCTTAATGGAGTTGATGCTTACTCTATTTTAGCTCCCAGCACACTCTTTGTGAAGGTAAGATTTGACTCAGATTCATGCTTTTATTAGGTTTTGAGTAATACCTACATTATGGTAAAAAATTATGCTAGCTTATCTCATTAGATTACTTGGATCATTGCTGGAATTTGCATCCTTACCTCTGAAATGATTTGCATGCTTGTCACAGAACCTATGATACCTTTTCAGTGCTGCTAGGCAGTGTAGGAAAGGAAATAACGACGTTTGAAATCTCTAACAAGTAATTTTGTCTTTGGAGGTCTTAGGTTTCAGAATTTTTGACGAGCAGTCAGAGATTGTATGGTACCATCCATGATTTCTTTCCAGCTGTAGTGATTTGCCTAAACTGCTGCTTACAGTCCTTCATATGATAAGCAAAATCCTATCTGCAACAGAAATAAAATAACTTGGAAAATTAATCTATAGTTGAAACTCTGCAGCATCCTTTATTTATGGCAGTAGCCTGTAGGCCATTCCGGACAATACATCTGTTACATGAGGACACTCATTATTTTATTTCTGTTTTAGTTTTGTCGGAAACTTTAGAAAATTCCTAGGGTATCATTGTTGAGATTTCTTCAGATTTGTGATGCCAAAGGCAACCCACTACTTTCTAGAGCTTGTCATTTGTGGACCACTACTTTCTAGAGTTTGTCATTTGTGGAACTCTGAAGAGAAAAAACATTCAGTTGTAGAGCATATGGTTGATAACTTCAAAATAAAGTGATGGAGTATAACCAGCTGGCAAATCATTGGACCAATACAAACAGTTGTCTCTAATTGTAGACAGAGTCAAATTATGTTGTTCTCATAACTTCTTCTTCTTCTCTTTTTTTTTTTTGCGGAAATCTCATAACTTTCTTCAATTACGCTGCAGATATTTGGTTCAATACTTGGAGTTTCAGGTGGATTTGTACTTGGGAAAGAAGGTCCCATGGTGCATACAGGGGCATGCATTGCCAACTTGCTTGGTCAGGGGGGATCACGCAAGTACCATCTCACATGGAATTGGCTGAAATATTTCAAGAATGATAGGGATAGACGAGATTTGATTACATGTGGTGCAGCAGCTGGAGTGGCAGCCGCATTTCGTGCACCTGTTGGTGGTGTACTCTTTGCTCTCGAGGAAGCAGCATCATGGTAGCACCTCTTTCCCTTCTCAAGCTGTTCATTCATACCTTAATGTAGATGATAATCTTGTCAAATGTGCTCTAAATTTTTTATAACCGTGTTTCTGGTTACCACTTTGAAACTACAAATCGAATATTTTTTTTAAAAATATCTGCATTTTCCATCGACACTGGCATTGGGTATGCAATCATTTACTAACTTCCACAACCTAAACCTGACATTAAAATGGTACAGACCACAAGTTGGCATGCTGATAAGGCAATTAGTTGAAAATGGATAAACCTCTTTGTGGAAGAAGTACATGGGTCTAGGGGTGAAAACAAATTGGATAGTGGTCAAATGATATTTGATCCATATGAAAAGGCGAATAGATTTGAACTTCTACTCAATTTGGTCTAATTGGATATCTGCATAACTACTAGCTTGCAATTTGAGCTTACCTAATGAAACATCATTTTTACACTTTTTCAAGAAAATTGTCCAATTAATTAGACATGTAGCAAAAAATATTATATTTATTGATTAATCGAATTCGAGTTGGTCTTCAGCTGAAATGACATTTCAGATAAAAAACTTAAAATCTTATTCACATCTATAATTTTCCATATATTTTGAATGTGGAAGAAGCTATTGATTCCCCCTTGATTGGATGGGTTTGTAAACCTTATGTGTCCTACTGAATGTGGAATAGGTAGTTAAATAATATGAATGCATTGCTTCTGTTTCACATCCATGCATGGTTAATATGATTGTTATGTGAACGTGTTCATTTTATTGCGTTTCTTTTTAGCTTTTCCCATGACTAAGGTTCTGCTTTTGTTTATTCAGGTGGCGAAGTGCTCTTCTGTGGAGAACATTCTTTACAACTGCTGTTGTTGCTGTAGTGTTGAGGGCCCTGATTGAGTTCTGTCGTAAAGGAAAATGTGGTCTCTTTGGGCAAGGAGGGTTGATTATGTTTGATCTTAGCTCGAACGTCCCATCATATGGCACCCAAGATCTCATCGCGATTATAATTCTTGGAGTAATTGGTGGCGTCTTCGGAGGCCTTTTCAACTTTCTCTTGGATAGGATTCTTCGTGTCTACAGTATTATCAATGAGTAAGTGTACATTCATGTACTTTTGCCAATTTTTATCTCTCCGTTTGAAAACAAAAAACCTCATTTACATTGTCATGCTTCCATGCAGGAGAGGCGCTCCATCCAAGATCCTTCTCACCATCACAATATCGATCATCACTTCGGCGTGCTCCTATGGGCTCCCTTGGCTTGCTGCGTGCTCTCCGTGCCCTGTTGGTTCAATGGAGGAATGCCCCACCATTGGCCGCTCTGGAAATTTTAAGAGCTTCCAATGCCCGCCTGGTCATTACAATGGTCTTGCATCACTCTTCTTCAACACAAATGATGATGCCATCCGCAATCTCTTCAGCCGTGGTACCGAAAATGAGTTCCACATGTCTAGCCTTTTCGTCTTCTTCATCGCTATCTACTGCCTTGGTCTCGTGACGTATGGTATTGCTGTCCCATCCGGTCTCTTTATCCCGGTAATACTTGCCGGGGCAACATATGGGCGCATCGTGGGGACACTTCTCGGTCCCATGTCTGATATCGACCCTGGCCTCTTTGCACTGCTCGGTGCCGCATCTTTCCTCGGTGGGACAATGAGAATGACCGTGTCAGTCTGCGTGATCCTTCTGGAGCTCACGAATGAGCTCCATATGCTCCCCTTGGTCATGCTCGTCCTCCTGATATCGAAGACCATAGCCGATTGCTTCAACAAAGGTGTGTATGACCAGATCGTGGTGATGAAAGGCTTGCCATTCATGGAGGCTCATGCTGAACCGTACATGAGGCACTTGGTAGCTAGTGATGTTGTGTCTGGGCCACTCATCTCCTTTTCGGGTGTTGAGAAGGTGGGCAACATCGTTCATGCGTTAAGGATCACCGGCCACAACGGGTTTCCGGTGGTCGATGAGCCGCCTGTATCAGAAGCTCCGGAGCTGGTTGGGCTGGTGCTTAGGTCACATGTGTTGGTTCTTCTGAGTGGAAGGAACTTCATGAAGGAGAAGGTGAAAACAAGTGGTAGCTTTGTGCTCAGAAGGTTTGGTGCATTTGACTTTGCAAAGCCTGGTTCCGGGAAAGGTATGAAAATCGAGGACCTAGATTTCACCGAGGAAGAGATGGAGATGTATGTGGATCTCCATCCAATCACAAACACTTCGCCGTACACGGTGGTCGAAACAATGTCGCTTGCAAAGGCTGCAGTCCTGTTCAGGGCACTAGGGCTAAGACACCTGCTGGTTGTGCCAAAGACCCCAGGGGTGAGACCTCTCTATCTCCATGATATCCATACATACCTCAGATCCTTAAATATCGTAATTGCACATTCTTTGTTTGCATGATATGAAGTTCATACTGCAGCCATATTCTGTATTTGAGTTCAATTATAGGGTGTTAACATTTTTTCTCTTCTTGTTTCGGTGCAGAGATTTCCTATTGTTGGGATTCTCACCAGGCACGACCTGATGCCGGAGCATATCCATGGGCTGTTCCCCAATCTCCGCAAGTCACATTGAGAAGCAAAATCAGCAGGCCATACAAAATTTTCTTGCAGTATTGTTATTTCTCATGAAGGTGCTTCTTCATTGGATCATGGAATAATCAATCTGATATATTTATTGTAAAGAGCTGATTCCCCAATCAGCAGTCGAGTGGATTTCATTTTTTTTTTTGCGGGGGGAGTGGATTTCATTTTGGCAGCCTGTGATCTTTGTGTAACAAAACAATCCTCTCCTTGTCAGTACATGTTCCCTCTTTTGCTTCACACATCTTCTCATATGCACCTGCTGTAACTTGGACCGCAACACCTTGTCGGTAGTAGCAACATGCTATCCATAGCGATCTCTGAACAAAATGATGCCGACAAGGCTCTGAAATCTGAATCTTAGTATTCATTCATGACCAAGGAAATGCAGCTGCTTCCAAACGCACTGGCTGGCTGTGCACACGTCAGTGGGGAGCCGCCTCGTTCGTTGCTGTCACAAGCCAGAAATTCGCCGGTATCCCTTTGCACAGCGACTCCGGTGGCGCCTACTGCTGACCTGACCGCCGAAGGAGCTCCGTTGGCCCACACGCCAGAGATGAACGGAAAGGGGGAACAGTGGCAGGCAAGGCACCATGATGCTGCCCCTGTTGATTCCAGCAGCAGGCGTGGTCATTGCTTGCTAGAGTAGTTGCCACTGTCTCTCGCCGGTAGTTGATTTTCTTACTTTTCTTTTTTGCGCGAGGCATCAGACATGGCAAATGCCAGGAACTTTATGCACAAACTCCTCATCAGCTTTTGGCGCTAGGATTGAATTTGATTTTATGCTGTGGAAGCCTTTTGGGCTTTTGGTCGGTTTGTTCTCCCCGATCTCTTGTGTCAGCTGCAAGGATCGCTGAGCCATCATGTTTGTCATGAGATTGTACGTACACATGTGTATGGATACAATGAATGTGCTTTGGGACTTGGGAGAGAGATTGAGAGGGAAAAAAAAGGGAAGGATTCTGATGTATGGGTGTGGCAGGAGGCATGTACCTTGCCTTGCAAGCAAGGCAGGCTATCGTTGCATTTTCTTTTCCTGTTTGTGTTGCTCTCTTGGAGCTGAGGTGAGCCGTGACTCTTCCCCTGTTATTGATCTCTCACTAGTTTTTAAGACCAGATCTAGCAGTAGTTTAGTTTGCCTGTTTTTATACCCTTTGTTAGTTTGTTACCAGCAGCTCGCTAGCTCTCTCGTGCAACCCCACCGCCACCATTGTCATGCATGAGAGTTCAGCAGGAATGACACACGAATAAATCTGTACTAGTTCATGCATTCTGAACATGCTATGACAGTGTGATTTCTATGCAGAAAAATCGGGTACCTTTTCTGGCCAGCCCACGTCTCCGAAAACACACCCCTAGTCTTAGCTTAGCTAGACGGTAATTTAGGTGCGCTTTTCATTGTTGTTGTTGCTGCTTTGGTAGTGGCATTTCTAACCGATCCCTTATAACCTGTTAGAGGAGTAAAGCTGAGAAAAATCGGTTTTACTTCTTTAACCGGCACCTAGCCGATCCCCAATTCGTTGTAAGGGAGTAAAAATTATACTCCAGCCCTAACTTTCTCCTTATATTTACTCCATCGCTCGGCGGCTGAGTAAAAATTGCGCCTCTCCTCCAATGCCTTCCCCCCTCCATCACCGCGCCGCAGTAGCGTCAACGATGCCCCTCTCCCACCCCTCGACGACACCCGCCCGCCGCCGTGGACACTCCGTAGGCTCCGCCATTGTCCTCTACCACTTGGATTTGTGCCTCCTTGTGCCGTCACCGGCACCCGCCTGCCATCGCGGATATTCCGTAGGCTCCGCCGTTGTCCTCTACCACTTGGATTTGTGCCTGGTCGTCCCGTCGCCGGAGAAGAACCGGTGAATCTGCGGCTGTTACCGCCGCCGCCGCCGGATTTGGCATTTTTCGGCCGCCGGCGATTGCGCCTTGCCATGGATTAATCGGGAAGTGGACCGCACAGCCCCAACGACGCCTCTGCGCTGCATGCATGTACCGGTTCCATGTCTAGCCACTTGAATCTCTCCTGTCGGAGGTTAGCCGGTAAAGACACGCCCGGCTGTCGCCCGGGCTCTGCGCTGACCCAGCGGCTCACCTGCTCGCCGTTGACGGCCATACAAGGGATGACTGCCCGTGGCAGGTGGTGCGCTGAATTTCTACCACACCGCAACATCCCGGATGGGTGTTCTTCAAGTGCACAAATGATGAGGTAGGTGCTTGTTTTGATTCGGCGCAATTTCGATAGCTCATTATTTGCTCATCTCTCTGTGTAGGATGGATGCAAATTTTGGAATTGGGAAGAAGAATACATGTTCTATTGATAGCACAAAAATTGATAGATGTCCATGCACTCGTTGCTAGAATAGAGACTAGAGAAGAGATTAGATGCGAATCAACGTCTACTTTTTTAGAATAACAAAAAAAAGTGTTCAAGCTCGAGAAGCCGCAGATCAAAATGGAGACATAGAGAAGATATTAATTCAACAGGTGGGAGCAATTAGGAAAATTGGTATCTTTTAGAATGTCTAATTGTGGTTTTTAATTTTTTTTGCTCTTTCTCTCATAGCGAAGAATAGGTGAATTATTATGTACTACATTACCGTTGAATGAAATAAAGAAGAAAGAGGTGTGTTTCGGTGCCCGAAAATGAAATGCAAATCAATTTTTTTTACTCTGTTATATATAGAGGATCGGTTAGATAGAGCATCTACAACCGGGCACCTTAAACCGTTCTCAAACGCCTGGACGACCCGCCCGGTCACTAACCTATCACGAAAATCTGACCCAGTCGAGCGCCTCAAACGACCCTCAAACGCCCGAGCTGTCCGGTGCCCCTCATATCCAGCCCAAATATGGGGCGGATATGGAGGCGCCCGGGCACGTCCGCCACGTCAGCCTGGCCCACCCCGACCCCACGCCGTCCCCACAAATATCCCCAATCCTAAAACCCTAGCTCAGTCCACTCTTGATCCGTCTCTTCTTCTTTCCTCCGATTTCTCTGATTCGATCCACTCCGACGACTCCGGTAACTGCGGCGACCATGTTTGATGCCGGCAACCGCTCCTCCTCCGACTCCTATGATGAGCTAGCCCTTCGCATTGCCCTCAAGAGGTCCAAGGTGGACACATGTGGCAGTTCCAGATCGGCCTCGCCTCTCCCCCACAGGCGCAGCGAGGAAGTCGGTGCTGGCTCCTCTCGGCCCGCGCATGGCTCCACACGGGTTGCGCAGTGTGCGCCTCCCCCACGCCGTCCCCTGGCCCCGCTGCTTGCTGCTCCCCCACACGGGCAACGGGGGTGCTTATGCCCGCCCCGCCGGCCCGGACACGCACGCCAGAGTAAAAGGCGCGTGCCGCCCACCGCGAGAGTCAGCGGGCAAGGGAGAGGGACGCGGCGGAGAGCTCTGTCCGCAGCCGCCGCGGGTTACCCACGGAGCCCGACGAGGACGAGCGGCTCCTCGCGTGGGTCTACCGCGGGTCGCTTACAATGGCGGAGACAGACGCTCGGGGGCTTTTTTGGAAGAATGCGAAGGCCCTCCGGCTAGCTATCGAGCAGTCCGAGCGTGAGGCCAGGGAGAAGGCGATGGAGGCAGCCCCGCTGGCGAAGCTCAAGTGCCAGTAGGACCGGTCCGTCCGGCGCCTCAAGGGCCTCATCATCCTCTCCTCCTTCTCTGACGACGCCGACGACTCCTCGTCCGATGATTCGGACGATCCTCCACCAACCCCGACGGCTATACTGCGCCGACGACCAAAAGGGTAAGGGGCTGGCCCGAAAGTGGCGAAGATCCGCTTTTCTTCAATTTAATTTCAAGTTTTAGATGTAGTTTCAAATTGTCTGTCGTTTATGTGAACTTTGATGGTCGTTTGAACATCCAATCGTGATCTTTTGGTGAAAGTATTGCGCTTGTCTATGTCCGATTTGCTGATCTGCGTAGCTTGATCGATGTTGCATGGTTTAGTATGGATATAGGGGTCGGATATGAGATACATGGATGTGGACGATGCTATTTAAAGAGCGCCTGGTCACTGCTTGCAGACGCGTCCGCGGGCATTTGAGGGCTCGTATTTGTCATATGTGCCTGTAGATGCTCTTAGTGAAATAAGTTTACTTCACAAAGGGTTTACTTCATCGGATACTCCACTATTTATTAGGGATCAATTAGAAATGCCCTAACTCAGTCGTAGTGAATATACTTAGTTATGGAGGTAGTATGTCGCATGTGTCATTTGTTTTAGGCGCCCCATCTTAAGAGTATATCAGCCACCGTATGCATATATATACCGGCCGCTCTTGAAATAGGCTTTCGCCCCATTATATAGATATAGAAACCATCTGATACATCTGAAAATTCATTGCTGGGGCAGACAACACAAGCACGTTCAAAAGAAAATAGAAAAGAAGGAAAAAATAATAATGACAACAGAGTCGGATCGACGAAAACGATGATGATCCACAACTGCCGCGTCCATCGAATCTTTCCACCGCCCCCCTAGCACTTTGGACTACAACATACCAAGCAACACCTTCAGAAAGGAACACAACGATGACGATGCTGCTGCCCGGACAGGTCCTAGGGTTTCCCCCGTACGCAGAGAGGCATGGGTGGGGGATACCCGATGCCCTTCAGGAAGGAAAGATGGCGCCCACGGACGTCGCCGCGTCGGTGCCGGCCAAGCCGACAGGGGTTTCTTCCGTCCGCCACACACCCAACACCCCGACCGATCCGCCACGCTCCACCACACTTGCCGCCCACCAACATGCGCCACCACGGTCTTGAAGCCATCATAGCTGTCTCACCATGAAGCCCGAAGCGGGACCGGCGGATCCGAGAGAAAGCGGCCGGGAACGAGGAGCGGCAGCGTCAGCGGCCACGCGGGAGGGGACAACCTTCACAATCATCGGCGGTCATCAACCGGACGCAACAAGAGGAGCAAACTAGGCACAGTGGCCCGGCCGAGCTTGATATGGCTCGTGAAGCAAACTAGGCATACGAGGAGC